GCACAAATCAATTTAATGCAGAGTGCAACAGACTGTTGGTTGACACTGGAAGTCACAGCATTCTGGAAATGACCTCTGACTTTATGCCTCCAACTGCCAACTACGAACTGCCTCATAACGTACTATTCCCAAGTATAGAGAACTGGATTCTCTGGGAGAAGGAAATATTAAAAGCAGACAGTTGTTGGTTCACAGATGGATCAAAAACTCCTTCCGGTTCTGGTGCAGGTGTTTTTAGTCGCAGACTCAGCACAGAGATATATATCTACTTGCCTAGGAACTTATGCGACTGTATTTCAAGCGGAAATTTACGCTATTGAATTGTGTGCGGACAGATTAGATAAATCCAACCTCAAACACAAGTCAATAAAAGTACTAAAAATTATGCTTTTTGTGTGAATTTTGTCTTACATCAACATCTGGTCCCGTTGAAAAATTAAGGGAAAGGAACCTCTTACATTAGTACTTTATGAGATGTAACGATGACGACTCTTCTTACGAAGACGTCATTCATTGGTATCGATATAACATTCAAACCAAAAATGTCAAAGACAAATGAAGGTTTCTATAGAGAGACAGTAATCGCTTTCTGTTTCTTCCTGCAACTTTTAGTGCAAGATGATACCAAAGCTCTGAAGCGTTGTATTCAGTCAAAAGGAGCTCTAAATCTTTCTTCTCAATGGCTAAAGTCGTTAGTCAAAATTACACTAAATCCACAATTCCACCGTAACACGGGAGAATATAGTACAAAAGCAACAACATCAATAAAAAAGCAAACTTTATTGTTGAAAAATTCACAAACCATTCCACACTCAATTCTAAAAATGTTTCAATATCTTCTTTTAATTTAATAACTCGACCTTTCAGCAAAAACACAAGATGATCAAGTTTTTAACTGCAATTTTGAAGATATGATTGAAGAAATGGAAATATTGTTCGAGAAAAAATTACCGACCGATGCAAGTTTGAACGAAAACCCATTTGTTGTGAGAGATTTTTTTGTCGGTAAGAAATTTTCAAAATTATTACCCGGGTTATAACGAAGTAACTAGATTTTTTGGTGGAAAAATTTGAAATTCGTAACGAAGATATGATTAATTGTAGTCAATAATAGCCAATAACAGAATACAATTGAAAATCTATTTCTATTCAACCGGAAATGATCCCAAACCGAGAACTTTGAATATAACCTGGCCATATAAAGTTCTGTTTTCAACGACAGAACATGGCGGCGTAGAAGCCATTTTCTCCACATTTACCATGACGGCAATATGACGTCATTTATGGAAATATTGTTAAACAACAATTTTCAAATAAAAATTCAAAATTGAAATTTTACACCAACTCAATTCATCTTATGGAGAACTTACTGTCACTTGCACAAAAAGTTAACCTCATAGTATATTTGATTATTGTATTATATATATTATGAT